TAAGATAAAAAACAAACTTAATCTATCAATATTATCTATCCAGATCTCCTCCAGTGGAAAACCTTCAGATTCACCTGGTTTAATTTCATCTTTAAGGAACTTTAGCTTTCTGATCATTAATGGAAAAGATGAATCAACAGATTAAACGATTGGAGAAATAATCAAATCAGCAACAGAGAGCAACTGGTCCAAGTCTGAGCTGCTGAATCGGGTCAGACTGGCAGCCAGGAGCCGCAGACTCTGCAGAGCTTCATTATTCACTATCCAGCTTCTAACTAAGTTGTCCTTAATGTTGTCCACAGTAGCTCAGAGGCTATTCTTCCTTATTCAGACTAATCCATTGACTCATTACTGCCCTACATCTTTTTTATAGAAATTATTTTTCCTTTTTTATGGGCTTGTTTGTAAAAGCCTGCCCACAGTCACTGCAGTGTTTGTTAATTAAATGTCCCACTGTAGGGTGAAACATTTCCAGCAGTAGATGAGGAAGACCAGTGCTCCCATCAGCCTTCCTGCTCAGGCCAAACTGGGCCAGACAGACAGAGCCTCCCTTGTTTCCTCAGAGTCAGATTCATCTAGGCTAATTTCCCCCTCAGAGGAGCACATGCTGCTCTTGTGATTCCAGCCTTTAATGTTTCTCCGTCAGCAGCAGGAGTTCAGACTGAGGAGCTGCTGCAGGTCGGAGCAGGATGCATGTGGGCCGTTGGATCCTGGCTATTCTCCTGGGAACCAGTGTTTGTGATGCTGGACCTCTGCACGCTCAGTGCAAGGTGGACTGGTGAGTGTACTGTGTTCTACTGCTGCTGCTGGGATGGTTCACACTGGCCTTCTGCTTAAAGAGCGGCTTTTAAAACGCTCCTGGAGGTACAGCGTCATTAGTGATGTCAGCAGGTCAGGGTCACATGACACAGGAAGAAATGTTTCATTATTCAGACCCAAAAAAACACACAGCAAACTGCACAAGTCACTGCAGCTGATCCTGGTGGATCATTACTGGTTGGAGAGAGTGGGGAACTGGGAACCATTTGGGCCCAGTTTGGTCTACTGATTGGAGAGAAGGGAGCTGGGAACCATTTGGTCCCAGTTTGATCTACTGGGTGGAGAGAAGGGAACTGGGAACCATTTGGTCCCAGTTTGATCTACTGGGTGGAGAGAAGGGAACTGGGAACCATTTGGTCCTAGTTTGATGTACGGGGTGTAGAGAAGGGAACTGGGAACCATTTGGTCCCAGTTTGGTCTACTGGTTAGCGAGAAGAGAACTGGGAACCATTTGGTCCCAGTTTGATCTACTGGTTGGAGAGAAGGGAACTGGGAACCATTTGGTCCCAGTTTTGTCTCCTGGTTAGAGATAAGGGAACGGGGAACCATTTGGTCCCAGTTTCCTCTACTGGTTGGAGAGAAGGGAACTGGGAACCATTTGGTCCCAGTTTGGTCTACTGGGTTGAGAAAAGGGAACTGGGAACCATTTGGTCCCAGTTTGATCTAGAAGTTGGAGAGAAGTTAACTGGGAACCATTTGGTCCCAGTTTGGTCTACTGGTTGGAGAGAAGGGAACTGGGAACCATTTTGTCCCAGTTTGATCTACTGGTTGGATAGAAGGGAACTGGGAACCATTTGGACCCAGTTTGGTCTACTGGTTAGGGATAAGGGAACTGGGAACCATTTGGTCCAAGTTTGGTCTACTGGTTGAAGAGAAGGGAACTGGGAACCATTTGGTCCAAGTTTGATCTACTGGTTGGAGAGAAGGGAACTGGGAACCATTTGGTCCCAGTTTGGTCTACTGGTTAGCGAGAAGAGAACTGGGAACCATTTGGTCCCAGTTTGATCTACTGGTTGGAGAGAAGGGAACTGGGAACCATTTGGTCCCAGTTTGGTCTACTGGGTCGAGAAAAGGGAACTGGGAACCATTTGGTCCCAGTTTGATCTAGAAGTTGGAGAGAAGTGAACTGGGAACCATTTGGTCCCAGTTTGGTCTACTGGTTGGACAGAAGGGAACTGGGAACCATTTTGTCCCAGTTTGATCTACTGGTTGGATAGAAGGGAACTGGGAACCATTTGGACCCAGTTTGGTCTACTGGTTAGGGATAAGGGAACTGGGAACCATTTGGTCCGAGTTTGGTCTACTGGTTGAAGAGAAGGGAACTGGGAACCATTTGGTCCGAGTTTGGTCTACTGGTTGAAGAGAAGGGAACTGGGAACCATTTGTTCCCAGTTCGATTTACTGGGGGGAGAGAAGGGAACTGGGAACCATTTGCTCCCAGTTTTGTCTACTGGGTTGAGAAAAGGGAACTGGGAACCATTTGGTCCCAGTTTGGTCTACTGGGTTGAGAAAAGGGAACTGGGAACCATTTGGTCCCAGTTTGGTCTACTGGGTTGAGAAAAGGGAACTGGGAACCATTTGGTCCCAGTTTGATCTACTGGTTGGATATAAGGGAACTGTGAACCATTTGGGCCCAGTTTGTTCTACTGGTTAGGGATAAGGGAACTGGGCACCATTTGGTCCCAGTTTGGTCTACTGGTTAGCGAGAAGGGAACTGGGAACCATTTGGTCCCAGTTTGGTCTACTGGTTGGAGAGAAGGAAACTTGGAACCATTTGGCCTCAGTTTGGTCTACTGGTTAGCGAGAAGGAAACTGGGAACCATTTGGTTCCAGTTTGGTCTACTGGTTAGCGAGAAGGGAACTGGGAACCATTTGGTCCCAGTTTGGTCTCCTGGTTAGAGATAAGGAAACTGGGAACCATTTGGTCCCAGTTTAGCCTACTCGTTTGAGAGAATGGAACTGGGAACCATTTGGTCCCAGTTTAGCCTACTCTTTCGACCGAAGGAAACTGGGAACCATTTGGTCCCAGTTTGATCTACTGGTTGGAGAGAAGGGTACTGGGAACCATTTGGTCCCAGTTAGGTCTCCTGGTTAGACATAAGGGAACTGGGAAACATTTGGTCCCAGTTTAGCCTACTCTTTCGAGCGAAGGAAACTGGGAACCATTTGGTCCCAGTTTGATCTACTGGTTGGAGAGAAGGGTACTGGGAACCATTTGGTCCCAGTTAGGTCTCCTGGTTAGACATAAGGGAACTGGGAACCATTTGGTCCCAGTTAGGTCTCCTGGTTAGACATAAGGGAACTGGGAAACATTTGGTCCCAGTTTAGCCTACTCGTTGGAAAGAAGGGAACTGGGAGCCATTTGGTCTTAGTTTAGCCTACTCGTTGGAGCGAAGGGAACTGGGAAGCATTTGGTCCCAGTTTGGTCTAAAAAAGAAGGAAGGATTGACAGATTGCTGAGTGAACGGCCTGCTTATGTTGCCTCTTTCTCTGCAGGTACCTGGGTTTACCCTGCAAGGACGTTTACCATTTGCTGGTTCGACAGATTCAGAAATGGACATCAGCATCTGGCTGCACAGCGGGGGGGCAGAGGTGCCTCTACAAGGTCTTTGGTTTCACCTGTACCACAAGTACAGACCACCAACACGCTGCAGATCATCCTTTATAACAATTCATAGAGAAATTAATGTTTCTGAAACAAACTTCCTCCATGAAGGAGATCAATGATACTGAGATTTATACCTAGATGTTCCTCTGCTAGCAGCTAGATGTTCCTCTACTAGCAGCTAGATGTTCCTAGATGTTCCTCTCCTAGCGGCTAGATGTTCCTCTGCTAGTGGGTAGATGTTCCTCTGCTAGTGGGTAGATGTTCCTCTGCTAGTGGGTAGATGTTCCTCTGCTAGGGGGTAGATGTTCCTCTGCTAGAAGGTAGTTGTTCCACTCCTAGCGGCCAGATGTTCCACTCCTAGTGGGCAGATGTCCCTCTGCTAGTGGGAAGTTGTTCATCTCCTAGCGGGCAGATGTTCCACTCCTAGTGGGTAGATGTCCCTCTGCTAGTGGGAAGTTGTTCCACTCCTAGCGGGCAGATGTTCCACTCCTAGCGGGCAGATGTTCCACTCCTAGTGGGTAGATGTCCCTCTGCTAGTGGGAAGTTGTTCCACTCCTAGCGGGCAGATGTTCCACTCCTAGCGGGCAGATGTTCCACTCCTAGTGGGCAGATGTTCCACTCCTAGCGGGCAGATGTTCCACTCCTAGCGGGCAGATGTTCCACTCCTAGCGGGCAGATGTTCCACTCCTAGTGGGCAGATGTCCCTCTGCTAGTGGGAAGTTGTTCCACTCCTAGCGGGTAGTTGTTCCAATCCTAGTGGGCCGATGTTCCACTCCTAGAGGGTAGTTGTTTTACTCCTAGCGGGCAGATGTTCCACTCCTAGCGGGCAGATGTTCCACTCCTAGCGAGTAGTTGGTCCACTCCTAGCGGGCAGATATTCCACTCCTAGCAGTTAGATGTTCCACTCCTAGCAGGTAGATGTTCCACTCCTAGCGGGCAAATTTTCCACTCCTAGTGGACAAATTTTCCACTCCTAGCGGGCAGATATTCCACTCCTAGCAGTTAGATGTTCCACTCCTAGCGGGCAGATGTTCCACTCCCAGCGGGTAGTTGTTCCACTCTTAGCAGGTAGATGTTCCACTCCTAGCGGGCAGATGTTCCACTCCTAGCGGGCAAATATTCCACTCCTAGCAGTTAGATGTTCCACTCCTAGCAGATAGATGTTCCACTCCTAGCGGGCGGATGTTCCACTCCTAGCGGGGAGATGTTCCACTCCTAGCGGGCAAATGTTCCACTCCTAGCGGGTAGTTGTTCTACTCCTAGCAGGTAGATGTTCCACTCTTAGCGGGCAGATGTTCCACTCCTAGCGGGTAGTTGTTCTACTCCTAGCAAGTAGATGTTCCACTCCTAGTGGGCAAATTTTCCACTCCTAGCGGGTAGTTGTTCCACTCCTAGCAGATAGATGTTCCACTCCTAACGAGCAGATGTTCCACTCCTAGCAGGTAGATGTTCCACTCCTAGCGGGCAGATGTTCCACTCCTAGCGGGCAAATGTTCCACTCCTAGCGGGTAGTTGTTCCACTCCTAGCGGGTAGTTGTTCTACTCCTAGCAGGTAGATGTTCCACTCTTAGCGGGCAGATGTTCCACTCCTAGCGGGTAGTTGTTCCACTCTTAGCAGGTAGATGTTCCACTCCTAGCGGGCAGATGTTCCACTCCTAGCGGGCAAATGTTCCACTCCTAGCGGGTAGTTGTTCCACTCCTAGCGGGTAGTTGTTCTACTCCTAGCAGGTAGATGTTCCACTCTTAGCGGGCAGATGTTCCACTCCTAACGGGCAAATGTTCCACTTCTAGCGGGTAGTTGTTCCACTCCTAGTGGGTAGATGTTCCACTTCTAGCGGGTAGTTGTTTCACTCCTAGCGGGCAGATGTTCCACTCCTAACGGGAAAATGTTCCACTCCTAGCGGGTAGTTGTTCCACTCCTAGCGGGTAGATGTTCCACGCTTAGCAGGCAGATGTTCCACTCCTAACGGGCAAATGTTTCACTCCTAGAGGGCAGATGTTCCACTCCTAGCAGGTAGATGTTCCATGCTTAGCAGGCAGATGTTCCACTCCTAACGGGCAAATGTTCCACTCCTAGCGGGTAGTTGTTCCACTCCTAGCGAGTAGTTGTTCCACTTCTAGCGGGTAGTTGTTTCACTCCTAGCGGGTAGATGTTCCATTCCTAACGGGCAAATGTTCCACTCCTAGCGGGTAGTTGTTCCACTCCTAGTGGGTAGATGTTCCACTCCTAGCGGGTAGTTGTTC